TTATTATAATCAATTTTTGAAATTTCACTGCATTTTTAATATTTATAGTTATACCTACTTATATTACAATGTTACCTAATAAATATATTTGCCATTATAAAAAACAAGATTATTAAATGAATACCAAGTGTGTAGATTATTAAGTAAATGCCATAAAAGTTGTGTAAGCTAAAAAACAACTTTCAACTTTAATAAAAATAAAAATGCAGTGAAATTTCAAAAATTGATTATAATAAGATACCTAAATAATTCAAAAATAAAAGTTGTGTAAGCTAAAAAACAACTTTCAACTTTAATAAAAATAAAAATGTGTTGACTGTTAGTAATTATAAGCAATGTTAGTATTTTGTGTGTGCGTGTTAATTTGATTCAAAATAATAATAAATATTAGAGCATTCTTACGTATAATTTAGCATCAATTGTTTAAAATGCTTAATATAATATCATTAGTAAAAAGATTTGTTCAAATTATCCATAATTAATGTACTTTATTATTACGTAATGAAAACATTTAATTTAATATAGTATAAATATTTAATTTTGTAGTTCAAAGATCTTTATTTTTCTTGTAGACTACTTATTGAATTTTTCCCACCAAATCACTCACCTCTTTTATAAAACTATATATTTTATAAATAAAGATAAAGTATATGTATTTAAATTGTTAGTACCCAAAAGTTTTATAAAAAATTTTCATGTGATTGTATATTACCTAATATACATGAATTATGATTTTATGATTTAGCATTTAGTTTTATTTGTTTATTTGTAATTATTGGTATTTAAACCATGATTCTAATTATGACAAATTATTGAATAATATGTCTGTAAATTTAAAACAATATATTGTTTAGTTTATAATAAACAAAATAATCATGCTGTATTTATATTTCAAATAATTGGTGCTACTTTAAATTATTAAATAATAATTTAAATTTAAAAGTTGTGGATTCTTTTATTTGTAGATTTTTAATATTTTATTTACTATTTCAAAAACAAAATAATGAAAGTAAAWGTTAACATTATTGTAAATTATCAGATCACACAAATATTTAGTTAATAGCGAGCATACAGGGTGTTTTAGATAATTCAATTATAGTTTAACAACTTTATGTTCATTAGATAATAATGTGTTAGTTTGTTATATTTTAATATATTTTTAAACTCAACTTGTTACTGTATCAATTAATATTTCTGTATATCAAATGGAATAATATTGTTATATTCCTTATTTATGAAATTGTAAAGTATAAGATTATTTTCTTAAATATTAAAACCTATACTATGGAACTAAATTCTAACAATAAAATAATTGTACCATAACACAAGTTCACAGTAACACAACTTAAAATCAATTTTTGTTTTTATTGACTAAAATTATAAATCTTATACTTAAATATATATATTATTGTA